ATTTGCTATAGATAATATTTATATTCAACCTCGTGGTTGAACCTTATTCCTCACATACTACTGTCACAAATGAGTTCCAATATCGTTCTCAATATGTTTCTTTCAAAGGTACTAATAAGGTTTATTGTTTTTTTCTGTCATGTTTCTTCGCCATATTTGGCCATTGATCCGGCCGCTCTTAAGTGGATTCCAAAACGTAATATTTGAATACTGAATTTTAATTTGAAATACAATATGCTACTATTGTGATATGTTTGATCTACAAAGAAAGTAGATCGTAGTCATAGCCTCTTCCATTTAATTAATACAATATAAAATAAACGGTGGACATCTATGTGGAAATTGACATTACTAGATAAATATAAGAATGAAATAGGAAATATTATAATTGATATACGAAGATAAAATAAAAGGTTGGAGGATAAAAACCTAACCTAAGTGAAATTAATAAAAAACAAATAAAAAAATTAATAACTGAAGTGAATCTGCGTTGTTATAAAACCGAAAATGTATTTTCAGGGTACTGTTGTGACGTTTATTAATCAACCAAAAGTCTCATGTAAATTACAATTTTAATATTTCTTGGGTGTTACTTGTGTAAAGTTTGAAATTCATTGTGATTATATGTATGCACTAAATGGTACTATGTGTGTCAATATTGTTTTCTTTTTTATTTATTGTTTTATTTGACTGGAATAAATATGTGGAGAAAATAAAATGTTTTTATCTTACACAGAAATCAAACTATTGATTTACAAACCTTACTACAAAGAGATACTCAATGTATATCAGACTTTCACCAGATATTTAGATAAATTATTTGTAGAGTTCATCGGGCGGATTGAGTAACGCAGCAGCTTTCCGGCCCTTCACTACTAAAAGGAAAAGTATTTTGAAGTTGCTGGCTCCCTCTTGCCATAACATCTTAATGTGCAGTACCTGCACTACAATAGTTTATGTTAGTTTGTCAAGTATAACAAAAAGTCTGACAAGCTCTATTTGTAAAAGCCTCTCTTAAACGCAGTAGATAACAGTGACTAAAAGTTCCTGTGATTTTCTTCATGCTGCGAAAAGCTGTTAAAAATAAATATCTTAAGGACTTTCAAAAATATCAGATAAGAGGTGCTTGTTGACACAACTGGTGTAAGTTTCAGAAGTATACAGAGTTAAGGTTAAAAGAGAAGTTAAAAGCAAATAAAATCTATTCAAGGTGGACACAATCTTTTCCACACTGAATTAAAAAAGACGAACATTCGAATCTAAAACGAACTTATAAGATATTTGTAAAGATTCCTTGGTCGATTTATAATTATTATAATGTTGCTAAATAAATTCCTTCTCTCCTCGTACCTTGCCAACAGAAGGTTCAGAGTTCGAATAGCGCCCACCCTATCCGAAGTCGGAACCATGGAGGCAGGAGTACCACAGGGGGCCGTGCTGTCGCCTTATATGTACACCATATACCCTGTGATCAACGAACGATGCTCAGTCTATACGCCGATGACACTTCTATAGCTGCTAGCAGTAGCAATCCAGATCTAGCCACTAGATACTTACAAACGGCACTAAACCGTCTGCAATTTTGGTGTATTAAGTGGAAAATTGCCGACAACCCGGACCAAATACAGGCTGTCATGTACAAAAGACGTCATAGACTCCCAAACTTCTACCAAACTCCCGAATTATCTATCTTCAATACTCCGATTGAATGGACAAATGCCAAATATCTAGGAGTAACGTTAGATAGACGTCTTACCTTTACTGACCATATAAATCAAATGGTACATAAGGTAAAAATCCTTAAAAGTCAGCTCTCCTCGTTAATAGAGAGGAAAAATAAACTGAGTTTTAAAAAAAAATAAGAATGCAAACGCCATCAATCTGCCATCCCCCACATATGCTCAGCGGCATGGGAGCATGCATGTAAAACAAACAGAAAGAAAATCCAAACTGTACAGAACTTCATGATCAGGGAGGCTTTTAAAATCCCTAAGTACGTACCTTTAAGAGACGTATATATATAGATTCGCAGCAAAAGAGAGTTCTGAACATGAAGGACGAACATGCATATGTGCTTTTCGAAAATCTCAGAAACCATCCGAACCGTTTGCTAAGAGAGTTGACTAACTACGACCCAGATTTAAGGACTATATAGACGGCCTAAACAACAGCTGAATAGATACAGGGGCAACCCTTATTAAATAAACGTAAAGTAAGGATGTCTACATAAAAATATTCAAATAACAGCTTAACAGACTTGACCCCAAAAAACAACACAAAAAAGCCTAGATCACTAAAAAAAATAATCCCCTCCTCCCGTACATCCTAATCCACTCTTTATTTTCTTATTATTTTAGTTATTTTAAGTTCACTAACCAGTTAAAACCATCAAAAACAAAAACCCAAAAAACATACACGGAATGTGTGAGAGCTCTATATACTTAGGAATGCATATTCCACCTTAACTCTTTCCTTCCATTATTATTTCAACCAAAAACCCTACTAACAATAAATCTGTTAAATAAATAAAGTACTCCAATCCAATGGACACAGATCCACAGTACCTAAAGCCCTTCCGGCAAAGGCCCTTCAAGCATACCCCTCAGGACAACATGCCCTAAGCAATCGCGGAACCTGAGCACCGAGGCCGTGTGCGACATACACGACTCGATGTCCAGACCCATCGATCAATCAGCCGGCAAGGAGACCAAAACTTGTTTCGCGAAATTGGCGACTGTTGGACCGGGCAGGGGGCCATCAATACACTGCCGACCCCCTGATCGGACACGCATTTTTCCGGGACAGAGCCTAAAGTCAACTCAACAATAAATTCAGTAAAGTAAATAGGGAGAAAAGCTACATTAAGCTACCCCTACAGTCAGGCGGCCTAACCAAAAGTCAAAAACAGAGGGTGTTTTCCCAAAAGCGCCCGACATAATAGTTTATAGTTCTACGTATGTCAGACGTAGAGGAGGGGTAGAGGAAAAACCTGGGGGTCAGATAGGTACCGAACCAAAATGATTTCTCTTTTGGATCGAGACTGGTCTGATTTTCGGACGTGGGGGTCCCACTAACTAGCGGTGGTACACTCATGTTCCTATGTGTTGGGATGAACTCATGTGTGTGTGTGTGTAAATAAATTCCATCCACAAATAAGTGTCAGTCGTAAATAATTCTCCGTAACTCAAAGTAAAAGTAAGAAAAGCTAAACGTTTTAAACAGTTTCCCACAAAAATACCAATACGAAATAATAAATCTACAAAACTAAAGCAAAAGTGATCCAGTGTAAATCGCTTTAGCTGACTTTTAAATTTTTTTTATATGAGTTTTTAAAATAAAACTAATTATTAATATTATGCGAATTAAACATTAAGGATTCATTAGACACTGCACCTAAAAATGATGATGAAATAAAACACCTTTTTTTATTTTTTTATACAACTAAAAAATTGTAAGGGTTAACACAACATTTTTAATAATATCAACGTGTAACAAGATCTGTTTAATAAACATTTTTTAACTTTATAAATCTTTTGGGCCGAAACACTTACTACAAACTGACCATAGACTAGTAAAGTCATGCGGACAGAGAACCTTCTTCCTAATACTTTCTTACTCCTATCCGCATACAGATAAAATCTCAGAATGGTTACTTATTGTATTAACAAGTTGTAAGTTTCATTATTTTCTCTCTGATGTTAGCCCCACAATCCATATTTTCTTTATTTGAATTATTGCAGTAATATTTCTTGGATAAACAGATGTAACTTTGGTATGATCTATTGGTTCTAATTTATTTATTTATTATTGGTTCTAATCTAATTTATTACTACAAAAAGTTAGTACCGGAACGCTAGTCCTACTCATAGGGAGACATAAAAATGCGAGAAGAAGATCTATCGTTTGAAGAGATTGGGACAAGATTGTTCATTGGACGAAGAGGAGCCCATATACCAAATTTCAAGACACTGCCACTTTTTCTTTAAGAGTTTTCATATAGATGGACCTACACAAATACAAATAACCTACTAGTTGAAATTATTTCCCTATCTTAGAAAAAATATTTTTCTAAAAAAATAATTAATTCTTGACTACAAAAACTGACTGGCCACTGATCCAAAAGTTCGTTTCTGAATAGTTGGTGGTGGACTCTAAACAAATGCGTTCAACGTTTATATACAAATGAATGTAAATAATTAAAACCCTGAATTTAATTCTCGTTACAGTAAAACGGCTTATTGAAAACAGCTTATAGGAACATGTGATGGCTATAAGATAACGACGATACAAAAAAGTCTAAGTTAGCCTAAAGTTCCAAGAGAATCATTATCCCCTTCAGGAATTGAACACATTCCATATAATTGCGGTTCAGACTACATCAGAACAACAAAGTGCAGTATATATACTGGTTTGACTGAAAATAAGAAAAATTGTCGTTTTGATTGAAGAAATAGGGGTGCTTAGTAGTACGTTACATCACACTAACGATGAAATCATCACTTTCGGTGTGATGATATGACACCAAATTTTGATTAAAGAAACAAAGGTGCTTAGTAGTACTATCACAATACTATCCACCGATGTTCAGAGAGGTTATCGAAATCTAATACATTCGATTAACTTATTGTAAAGAAGAAGGCCACACCTAAAAACGGTAGATCTCAGGCTACGAAATATGAAACCTCTCCGTAGAAACATCGTAAATTCTAATTTCAAATGCAGATGAAAGGTCATTTAGAGATAATTCGAGACCACGACCTCAAAACTTGGAGAAGTCTTGTCCGATATGTGTCTCCGCTGCTCTAATATTTCACTTAGACCGCACAAATCACAAATTTTTCATACTTTTACTTTTAACGTACTTTTACTTTCAATTTGAGAAATAAAACAAAAATTGGATTTTTTTCGGCTTTACGTTTAACCTGCTTATTAGGTACATATATAGTATAAACACTAAATAAATTAAACTTTAAAATAATTATCTGTTTATATTTAAATATTTAATTATCATTAACTGTTTCATTTTCAGTAATTTGATTATTATTAGCTTCGTTAGAAAATGTTGTAGATAGTCTTGCTATAGATCCCACAGCCTTAAATCTTGTTTGAGCTTTCATTTTATCTACCTTTTTCTTCCACTAAAACAAAAAAATATTTGTTAAGGACGATATACCATCAAAATACCATGTGAACAAACTAAAGGTAGCTGAATAAATACATAGTCAGAGATCATAGCCTTTGACAACGGCTAACTGGCTGAATAACGCTACTATCAATTGTTTTGGATTGTTAGTGACGATTATTTTAGAAATATCAAAGAAAGAAGAAGAATCTACATTCATTCATTTTGTGTGCAAATAATATTGGAAGTTTGTGTTTAAATATTTAAAAATGTTCTAAATTTATGTTAATAGACTGTTTTCTGTGGTATTAGGACAATGCATATTAGCTGTAAGTAATAATAACATTTTAAAAAACTACTTTTTCATATTTCGAAATTCCGGTTACTCTAATTATATACTACTTCTACAATTTATATTCAAAACAAAATAAATACCTGTGTTCAATGTATAGGTATATATTTTAACTTGATTTGTACTTTATATTTGAATAACAATATTAAATAGAATAAATATAAACGATTACCTATAATACTGAATAGATGTTTACAAATGTTCACAATATAGGTTAAGGATGCTTTCCATTATTTTTCAACTTACCAAAATTTCTGATATTTTATGAGTTTTTACCTAAAACTTTCTGAAAAGCCCAGATCTTTTGGTCTAAAACATAGGTAATAAGTAAGTTTAATAAAAGGTCTTTCAGGTGAAAGGCTGGATTGAAATAATGTAATCTACAATCTAGCTATCCTTTATGTATGTATGGTAGATTTCCAATTTGACTATTATTCCTACCACCAATTCATATGAATTTTTCTTCTTTTATATGTATAGTATTCAGCTTATATAGAGCCATTAAAAACATCGTGATTAGGGTTGGTTTTGAAATAAAACTTGTTGTAGGTTGGTCACCTTTATACAATAATACATTATTATCCTAACTTGTATGTAATGTTTGAATACATCTACTTTATCTGGAGTGTGTTCTTTGGTAGGGAGTGTGGTTTGTATCAGTGCCCCATTTCGCAGAGACACTACAGTTAATACAAATTTAAAATCAGTTAATTAAAAGCATATCAGTTAGATAGCCAAGCAGACTAGGTGACTTGCTCACATTCACTTCCGAATGATTTAGCAATTTGAGTTTGATTGTCCTAGCCCGGGATGAAAAAACCATTTATTATAATTATTATTAGGTACAATTTATTTATTAAAAACATAATTATTGTATGATTTCAATTTTACAAAATACCTTATTGTGGAATAGATAATTTTTGTCATTTTTTTTTATTGTTAAATTAATCAATATTTTAAACTGTTTTTTATTGGAACTTAGTGTCCAATTAATTTTGCAGGACAGTGTTCTTTCAAAATTTTGATTATCTGACCCAACACTATATAATAACTATGTATATATTCAGTTATTTATTATCAATTAAACTGTGAAACAACTCACTTCTTCATCTCTGGAGGGCATTTCTGATAAATATTGATTCATATCATCTTTACTGGTATCAACAATAGCTAAAACTGACACACATCCATCAACAGTTCCTAGCACCAATGCTTTTCCATCTGGAGTACTTTCAACAGCTGTAAGCTCGGCTTGAACTCTATAATTTGCTACAATTTCAGCATCAGAGGTTCTATATCAAGTAAAAAATAATTAAATGTTAGGAATTCTAGTAATGGAAAATATAAAAGTTTGATATTTAATATATCATAGGAAATTTGATCAAATGTCTGATTTGAATAAACCCTGGATTCTAAAATAAAATCTTTATTTTATATTCAGTTTCCAGATAGGTGTTTTCATAGTTTTCTTATCATCTATGCTGGAGCGGTTGTTAATTTTATTTTAATTTATTATATTGCATGATCAAATAGAATGGTTGCAATTTTAGCATTTCAAGGGGTTACTAGACTACATTCATGCAATGTTCATTGTTTTGTTCTTCCAATGAAGCAGGAATGATATTGTAAATCTTGCTTTTTTATATCTCCTCTTAGGAATAAATCCAGGGAGTGAAATCAAGGGATCTTACTGACTATTTAATAAAATCCCTTCATCCAATCTATTGTTTAGGAAAATGTTCATTAAGGCATTGCCTTACATTTATACTATAATGCAGAGGTGCACCTTCTTGTTGAGAAAGCAGATCATCTTCTAAGTGCCTTTTTTCATTTTAAATTATCTGTCAAAATGGGATCAACTGTGTGTATTTTATAGGGATGAAATTTGTAATGTTTCAGTACTCTGTGGGCAATTAATAGTGGGTGACAGACCAAATTCTTAAGCTATTTTATTAATACTTAAAGTAGGTTCCAAATTAACATGACCTAAATGGCTACTTCTGCTGATTCCATTACATGAATTTTTTAACTAGGATTAATATTTATGAGTGATGAAGTTCCTGATCTTAATGAAGTTGATTGGAAATCATTTCAATGCATTCTGTGATAAAATAGACCATTTCGAATGAATTTAAAGAATACTTATTTAATATCACTGTTAAACACTACCAACCACAGTTCAAATAATTAAACTTTTTCCAAATTTGAAATTGACAATAGCAAAACATAGCGTAATTTTTTAGTTTTTCATAAGTGTAACAGTTTGTTTAAACTGATACTTTTTCACAAGAACAGAGTTAATATGAGAAGAAAAATCATGAGTGCTTGAATTCTCCAGTGAAATACCTGGCTGATTATGGGCCATACATGGTCTATTCCCTATTTAAAATTAAGACCTAAGGTATATATTGTTAGAAGATGACCCATTTGGAATTAACATTAATCTTTTTCACCACATTAACAGAATCCAAGCTTTCGAGATGTGCGCTTACTGCAGATTGTTAAGGATATTGTGGATGGATAGAGAGACTAATCAAGCAGTTCTACATCTAAAAAAAAGAAAGAAAGGTCCTTAATATCATAAAAAAAAGAAAATTGCGTACTTTGCCCAAGTGATGAGAAATTCAATGATTTTAGATCTAACAAATAGAACTAAAATAATATAGTATAGTCACCGAAAATTCATCAAGAAACTTGTAAGCAAGAGAAACACATTAGATCTGATAGGTCACACTTTGACTAACTATACATAAGTATGTTCTTAGAAAAATTAAAAATAATACAATAAAAGAGTTTTCTCAAAGTACAGTTATGGCACATCCAAAGCTTTACACATTCTGAAAACATATATACTTGAGTTATTGCAGCTAGTGATAAAACATAAAACAAGTAGAGACAGAAATATTCTTCCCTTTGCAAGTATACCATTCACTTCTTGGTAATATAGTTCACAGGGTCTCTATCTTCTCAACATTTCTGCTGTTATATAACTTCTATGTATTTTATAAAATCTATAATCATTTAGCTTACCTAAACACTCGTAATGTCTTTCTCCCACTATGATAATAGAGCACATACTCATCAGTACTGTTAAATCGACAAATTATAGAAAACACACCCTCTGCAACTTTGGGAATGAAAGTTCTAAATGTTTGACCTTTCTTCAACTCTATCAGTTCCAGTCCTCCTCTGAAAACATATAAAATATAAGTCTTAGTAATTTGTTTGCATTGATTTTTTTACATATATTTAGGAGCCCTAAAAACTTAATGTTAGGACAAACAAAAATTTATTGAAAACATTCATCTCCACAACCTTGCTTATTAAATTAAAGAACGACATCAACAATACATTAGAGTCTATCATCAATAATAAAATATTGAAATGTTTATGCACGATATTTATGCAAAAATATTGCATAAATAAGTATCGTGGCAACTAAATATTCCGGAAATTCAAGAAATTACTATTTTAATATGAAGATACATCGCCACGCGCCTTTACAATCGCGGCAATCCTGTCTGGCATTGTTTTTACTAAGGATTCACACAAGTCAGGGTTGAAACTATCTCACAATTTACCTAGTTTTCTTTTTAAGTCTGCAACGTGACAGATCTCTGGGATTATTTTGCAATTTATGTTTTATCTTGTGCCAGTGTCTCAATAACATTAAGGTTTGAACTCGTTGAAGGCCATGAAAAGACTTTAATGTTGTCTTCATATCATTTTTTAGTTGTTTTGGCCATATGAAATGCAGCTTCATCCTGCTGGAATATAAAATTCAAGTACTGCTAGATACCGTGAGCACTTTATAGAAAACTATTTTTAAAATTTCTTGATATTTTGCTGTGTAAATTGCGAATTTCACCACCTAATATCTTCTTATATCCTCTGATGACATGAACCCCCAAATCAGAATTCCTTTGGGGAACTTCACAGTTCTTTTGAAGCAATCTTATGGAATGTTTCATTTTTAACTGCTTCATATGCTTTTACTGATTCATCACTGAATATGACTCTGGTCCAGACATCAATGGTCCATGAAATCTTCGATCTTGTCCAATTGAAACGAGTTTTTTGCTTCCTTGCTAGCAGAGGTTTTTCTTTTGCCTATTAATTTTGTCCATTTTGTATATTTTCACTAGTAATCGTCGATCCATATAAGACACAATTCCCGGTCTACCCGAACTTTTGTCTTTAGGTTGGACACTACCACTCTCACGATAATGCTTAAGTATGTCTGCAATTGTACACTTAGACAGATCTAATTCTTCTGAAATTTTTCGTATTTTTTTACCCTGACAATATTTTTTACTTATCAATTGTCGAAATTTAGTATGTGTGTGAAACATATAATGAGTTTATGTCAACAATCTTTATTTTATTTATACACGGTAACTAGATAATTCTGAAAAATTTACTTGCCATGATAGCATGCGATATTTTCGTTTATTTTCTGCCATCACTACAATCCAAAGTTTATAAAAACCAAGCCAATTGAATATTTTATTATTAATGATAGACTTTTAATGTATTGTTGATATCGTTCTTTAATTTCAATAATCAATCTTGTGAAGCTGAACATTTTTAATAAATTTTCATTTGTCAGAACATTATTTGTTAAGGCTCGTAGTTATAAAATTAATTAAATGTTTACATACAGAAAAAACTTTGGCTTAAAACATGTATTTTAATATAATTTTGATAATATACATTTATGTTTACATCTTTGGTCTAACTTTAACTCTAGATTTATACAAATGTAAATATATACATAATGCCTGCATAAATATTATTGCAAAAATCAAACAATCATTTTAAAACAAATTCTTGAAACATTAAATATAACAAATTAAATTAAAATCCAAAACATTTAAAACTAATAAAAAATATAATTTAACTCCTATGTAAAAAGCTTTAAAATTCAAATAATATATAAATACATATTGTAAACGCATATTAATGGACATCAAAACAATATGTAGGTTATAAACTATTTTATCTGTTATGTCAAGAAGTAATCATACCTTGATGGAGCATACAATCCATATTTTCCATCTTTAGTTATACTGCCACCCCATTTTGGAACTGTACGTAAATATTTTTTAGACTTAATATCAATTATTGCTCCTTTGTCTGTTGTCATTACAGCTACTAAGTGACCTTTATGAGGCATAGCAACCAGTCCAGCTACATCCTGTTGTGACATAAATGATATAATATTATACTTAAAACATAGTCATCCCTACCTTAATCGCGCACATTTTTAGTGCTATCCTATGTACAAAAGCACCATTCTGTGCATTGTATACAAAAATGCAATCTCTGTTTGTTTTATCAGCCCCTGACATTACTAAATGTTGATTATCAGAAGTAACAACAGCTGGTCTAAACGGAACTCCTGTAATACTTCTTACAGCATATTCAAAACTGTATACCATTTCACCATCTAAAACACACATAAACCTTAATGGAGTCAGGATTTTGTTTAAAACAAAACCTGATTTTGGAAATGCATTGTCAATAAAAAATAGGTGGAAAAACGCCTCGTGGTACTTAAGGAATGCTGCCAAAAGTGGATACTTCTTATACTAAGTTATTAAAGTTTGTTTAGCAGTAAATGGTTGACTTCAATTGTACCGAATATAAACATCCTGGGTTAACCAATCTATCTATCTATATAAGGATTTTTACAGCTGTCGCCGCCTTCCTTCTTTCAACCAACGTCTCCAGCCTTTCTGTTCTACCATTCTCCATCTCTAAGGTCTCGTCTTTCCATGGCCTCGTCCACTTCATCCCGTAATGATCTTCGGGATCTACCTCTTTTTTTCCTTCCTATTGGGCTCCAATCCGAAATCTTTGCTATCCACCTTGTATGATCTGTTCTTCTCACATGTCCATACCAAATTAAACGTTTTTTCTTCGATGTAGCTGAGTATGTCTTGTTCTACTGCCATTCTTCGTTTTATCTCCTCATTTCTGATGCGATCTATTTTTGTCACTCTGCAGCTTCTTCTCATGAACTCCATTTCAGTTGCTGATTTTGGACCTGTTTCGTTTTATTATTACCCAATTCTCTGCTCTTATAGTCATTATACTGCATACCAAGTGTTTATAAATTCTCTTCTTTATATTCTTGGTAATCTGTCTATCCCACAGTACCCCGTTCATTTTTGTTTAATACATGTTCTTGTCTGTGCTAATCTACTGGGTATCTCTTGCTCGGTGGTTTCCATTTTTTGAGAGTATGAATCCTAAATCTTTGAATTTTTTCAATGCCGTTAATTTCCCTATCATCGTCAATTTCCCAATTTCTCACTGGTTCTTGCTCTGTTGTTAAATATTCGGTCTTTTCTAGGTTTATTTCCAGTCCATTTTTTGTGTATTCCTTTTCTAATTTTCGGAGCATATAGCACAGATCTTCTTCATCTTGAGCCGTTACCACTTGGTCATCTGCAAAGCTTAATGTGTACAAGAAGTTGTCCCGGATTGGTATTCCCATCCCTTCACATTTCCTTTTCCATGGTTTTAATATTTGTTCGAGGAATATCTTGAACAGTGTCGGAGATGTAGAGCATCCTGCAATAAGCCTTTTGTGGTCTTAAATTCGTTGGAGTATTTATTGCCGGTTTTAACTCTTACCTTGTTGTTGTAAAGGTTTTTTACGGCTTCTATTAACCTCTGAGTTATTCCGATTTCCTTCATCGTGTTCCATAGTTGTTTTCTGGGAACCGTGTCATATGCCTTTTTTAAATCTATGAATGCCATGTGTACTGGTCTATTTTTTGCCATTTTTTTTTCAATTAATTGTTGGAGTGTATATATGTGGTCTATGCAAGATCTTCCTGCCGTGAACCCCGCCTGATCTTCTCCGATTTTATTTGAGATAGATTTTTCCAGTTTTTCTTTCAGTATTTTTCCATATAACCTGCCCATACATGCTATCACACTGATGCCTCTGTAGTTCTCGCATTTCTTCTTATCTCCCTTTTTATGTATCGAGGTTATATATGCTTTGGACCATTCATCTGGTATTTCGTTCAGGTTTATAGCGTTACTGAACATTTCGTGTATAATTCTGTGTAGTTTGTCCGTTCCGTACTTAATTAGTTCATTAACGATTCCTCCTGGTCCCCCTGATTTTTTGTTCTTTAAAGTCTTTATGGCATTCTTTACTTCGATTAATGTTATCTCAATCTGTTCTTCATTCTGATTTTGTTGTTGTTCATGTTCTGTGTCTGTCTCTATGAAATCTGGGCGGTTTTCTGTGAGTAGTTCTTTATAGTAGTCTTCCCACTCTTTTTCTGATATGTATTGTATTTGGACCTTTTCGTTGTTATTTTTCCTTAAAGATTTCAGTATTTTCCAGGATTCCGAATTCCTTGTTCCTCCTATGTATTGTTCAATTTGTGCACATGTTTCTTCCCATTCTTCATTCTTTTCTTTTGCCCTTCTTCGTTTTACTTCTCTGTTTTTCTCTTTGTACTTCTGTATGTCTTCTGGGGATTGGGTGCTCATACTTTTCATACATAGAATTTTCTTCTCCTCAATACATTTTTTGGTTTCTTTTGTTTATTTTTACTTTGTGTTGGTATCTCTTTTCTCAAGTTTCCCCAAAGCTTCTAATGCCGCCTTTTTTATGCTGTGTTTGACGTGCTCGTACGTTTCTTTGACGTTTCTGAAACCGAAATCCTGTAACTTCTGGTCCAGTCTTCTCTGGTATAGGTCCCTTATGGATTCCTCTTGAAGTAAATTTATGTTGAACTTCATTTCTTCTTCTTTCTGTTCATTTTTTACTTGGTCTTCTTCGTGTTCTTTCTTCCTTCTAGTTTGGGTGTTCAACGTGTAGGGAAACCCCATTTGTGAAATTATTAATCGGTGGTCAGTGCCACATTCGGCTCCTCTCTTTACTCGTGTATCTCTAATTTTGATAGTACTACTTTTGCTGACAATTATGTAATCGATAATGGATCTGATGTTTCTCGTTGTTTGTACATACGTGTATTTATGTATGTCCTTATGTCTGAAAAAGCCGTTAGTAATTTTCAGATTGTTCAGTTCGCACAGGTCAATTAGTCTTTCTCCATTATCGTTTGTCACATGTTCTCCAAAACGGCCTATCGTGCTATCATTTTGTCGTTTCCCTGTTCTTCCATTTAGGTCCCCTGCTATTATTATTTCTTGTGTTGGTCTCAGTTTTCCGATCTCTTCTTGTAAGGTATCCATGAACTGATCCTTTTCTGCTACCAGACTGTTATCCGTAGGGCCGTATACTTCCAGTATCACGATTTGCCTGCCATAGATTTCCATGATGAGTTTTACTATTCGTTCATTTATGGGTTCCCATGTTTTTATTGTTTTTACCCATTTTTTCTTGACTAGTATCCCCACTCCGGCAGCTGCTCTTTCTTCTTCTTTTTCCCGCTCCAACAGTAGAAGATGTCATCTACAAATTGTGTACCATTTCCCTTTTTCTTGGTCTCAGTTGTTACCAAAATATCAAGGTTCATCCTCTTAAATTCCTCTATCACCTGTTTGTCTTAGTTCGCCATCCTTGGATGTTCCAGGTGCTACACGTGATTTCCCTCTTTCTCTGTTTCTCTTTTCGACGTTGGCTGAAATTTAAGACTGGGCTTCTCTTACCAAAAGCAGACCTGCCCCCCCCCCCCCGTATCCGATGGGCTCCCTCCGTTGGAGGTGTGGATTACCACCCGGGGAACTATATTTTTATTTTCATCCTGCTTCTTGTACTTTCGCCCTTTGTTGTTTTTGCATGTGCCAGGATGCTAAAGCCTGACGCCAAAACCCCCACTTTGGAGGACCTGTACTTTCAGCCGCCCATTCTGGATCCGACGCTGTTTGCAGCCGCCCACTCTGGATCAGACGCTGCTTGATTCTATACAAACCCTAAAATTCGGGGTCGCCACTTCCGCCATCCTCGCCGTACCGAAGGTCTCTCTCTCTGCCGTGACTGCCGTTGTGGTCTTCATCCGTAACTCTTGGACAAGGAACCCTAAGCAGGTACTAGTTTCCCGGGTCAGGAAACACCTGGAATCTGTGGGGGCAGGGAATGATTTATTTTTCCCTGATAGAACTATCCAAGGAATTCCAAGGAGTTCCTACCTACTACCCAAGGGTTAACCAATAATAGTATAAAAGGCCCGGTTTCAGGTAACAATGGTTTACCCGAGGTACAAGGTCTTAACAATGGGCCAAGTCAGATAAATTTAATAATATTTACGACCGCACTAATTGAAGTCAACCATTTTCTGCTAGAACAAACTACTACATGCGGGTTAATGAAATTGTATTCTGCTTATTACTGAATTGTTAATATTTTTTTATAATAACATCAAACTTTTAAGTTCTTTAAAATTTAAAAAAATTTGTTAAATATAATATAGAAGTTATTCTTCAGTTTGATTAGCATTATATTCTAAAAATAAAACTGATGGTTTGTGATGAATACAATTATTATTATTAAAGATAATTTTATTTTATATTTTATTTTAATTTTTTTTAGCATGATCTAAAAAATAGTATACATATAAGTCGATGATCAGAGTAATAAGTGTATATACATTACAGTAGACTTCTCTTAACCGGTCCCGCATTAACCGGCCGTCGTATTAACCGACCACGCCCACTTCCTATAATTTCTTTCTTTCCTAAAACATTTTTGGGAAGTGATGAAAAATCGGCTTCTGAATTTAAAAAGAATAAAGAGCGCATTACAGTTGCTGTTTGTTCAAATACAGCAGGAACACACAAAATTCCTCTTTCTGTTGTTGGTAAGTCCGTTAAACCACGTGCATTTAAAAATTTAGATCCATCATCCCTCCCCGTATTCTGCCGATTACAAAAATCAGCATGGATAAGCGCTGATCTATTCAAAGAATGGTTTGAGCGTGAATTTGTTCCGAGAGTAACGCGCCATTGTAAGACCATAAATTATCCCACTAAAGCAGTCGTACTTCTGGATAATGCTCCAACTCATCCTGGAAACCTAACATGTGAGACAGATTCTCCTAATGTGACAAGCTTGGTGCAACCGATGAATCAAGGGGTGATTGAAAGCTTGAAAAGATGATACAGACGTAAATTACTGTCCGAAATTTTACAATGCGCAGAAAGTGAAGATCTCAATCTTATAGATATCATAAAAGAAATAACTTAAAGTTATGTTAGCTTCCGTCTTCCAAGAAATTCCTGCTTCTACTTTCGTTAAGTCTTGGCGAAAATTTTGGGCCAACATTGAGGAACTTCTAGAGTGTCAACAAGCACACGAAGAAGATAATTCTACCACCATTCTACAAGATCTCCAAACGTTATCCGAAAATGTCCAATTGCAGGCCGAAGATACTGAAGAATGGATGAACTGTGATGAGGAACGAATTTTTGACAGACAACGAAATAATTACATGAAGAGCCCTATGAAAATGAGGAGACTGATGATGATGATGTTGTTGATGGAGAGGAAAAGGTCTGCCACACCGAAACGAGGGCGTTTCGAAGGAGTATAGTGTATTTGTATATACTGTATGTATGTATATTATTCATAATATTGTACACCGCAAGGTGGCTGTACGCGTCTCGGTCACGTACGAGATTATTTCGGACCCGTGCAAAAAAATACATACATATCGAGCGATAAGAAGTATGTATTCACTTCAACTATCATGTCAGTTCCATTAAGACTATGCTTTTGCAAAAATCTATCCATTTTCTTATTATTTTGGAACCATTTAATAATAAATTAAATAAAAAGTATTTTCGCAGAAACAAAATAGAATATTAGTAATATTGTAAAAATATTTTATTAGTTTGTTTATACTTAAACATACTCGGTATTTCCCTTACACAAACTGTAGCCACAGTTCGAACACAATCTGTTCCTGGAGGATTGCTGGGTTTTGATATTGAAATAATCTTTGTACCATTATCCACAAGAGTTAACTGCCTGATTCCAGGTTGTTCTTCTTTAAAGATAACTTGTTGGGTGAGTCTAAGCCATATTAAAATATTTCCAGACTCCGCAGACATTATGTACCTAAAATATTGTTAAATAAATCATTTTAAAGACCCTGGTGAAATTAAAACTAATCTTATTCTCCAAACAGAAATCAGAATTTTTGTTACCAGATAAGTAAAGTATGAGCAATATATTATTAAATGTTTTTTCAGTTTTGAATTATTATTGCTAGTATTAATTATATTTAGGGTCAATTGCTTTATTAACAACACCTGTACTATTTTCAAAAGTTTTTTTTACAAATAGTATTTAAGTAAAAATGTTTTATATGGATGTTAAGTAAAATCAATCAAATCTCTCTATTTTGAGAACTGTATTAGCGACATTTATTTGTTTAATTTTTATTATTCAAATTTTAAAACAATGTATAAAACATTAACACTATCATTTATATTAGTCTATTTGTTTATTTAGGGTATAGGGAATATTTACATCAAATTCCTGGTGATACCTCAGCTATAGCATGCCTGAGGTTTGCAATTGCATTGACTTACTGAATTATAAAAACATACCCTCTTTTTGATAATTCTTGTAGTTTTAGTTTCTTTGGATCTATCTTTGCTTGTAGTCTAATTCCACTTCAAGATTACTACGTTCATAATGTGGTTAATGAAACTCACATTTTTACATACATTTTAAAATATGAGAATAAATTGATATTAATAGTTTGCTAGTCAAAAAGTGGCCGCAAATATTTTTAATTCAATTAATAGTAATTACTATTTGATCAAAAATTTTATTTCGTTAATTTAGTTTTTAATTAAAATACGCTGCTCATGATTTATATGCATGTTTATATATGACATTAAAGTTAATTTTTTTAATCTGATCATATAATGTTGCCTGAGAGAAATGGTCGCAAATTATTGTTGCCAGCTATTAAATACGCGAGGTATCAAAAATAAAGTTAGCGAGCAACGGCACTGGTTTGACAGCTGATATGTATATTCTTATTAAGCAATAAACCTACCAAATTTTTGCAGTCAGATGGATCTCAATGAAACTTGTTGCATTCGATTCGTAAGAGTGTCAGGAAATTTTGTGAAAAAAAAAATGATAATGTGGAAATGAAAATTGCAATATTTAACAAGGATAATTCATTTTCCAAAGTGCATTTCGATGTAATAAAAAATGATCAAAGGGTTTGTGAGGTTGCTAAACACAAATATCATGCTGTTAGGTTACACAGTAAATAAATATTAAATTTTTATTTTTCAAATATTTTATAATGCAATGTCTCTATTTTCTTGAACCGCCATCTCATTTTCTTCGTCTACAGGTTTATTTTTATATCTTTCTTTATTTGTGCAATTAACGCCTACACTCTAATCCATGTTTCCTGCATCCAAATGAATTTCCACAATTCGTATTGCACCCACAAAATATCAAGCTCATGGTACTTGGTGGACTGCGTCGTTGTGTCATTTTAATTCAGCCAATTTTAAACACGAAGATAAATTCTCTTTAAGTAAACGTATCAAGATTTTAAAAAGAATGTTCAGAATAATTTTTTCAATATTCAATAAAGCTTATGAAAATAATGTGGGTATCTCGAGGACGATTAACAACGAAACATTGTTACTATTACCAATGAATTATTGTTCAAGATACCCAAGTAATAGAGTTGGACTTATTTTGTATATAAATCCCTTGCAACTCCAGAAGACGAGGTCCCTCGAGAGGTCAACCCTGGGCACCAGGCATCACGGAAATTTTGAGATAAGTCTTGGAATCCTGGTGTCTCGGAGACCATTGCAACATGATTTTATATCGAATTTATACAAAACTCTAGGAGTTGAGTCCCATTCTGGGTAGCAAGTGAATCGCACACGTTCGCCAACATGATATTAGTGTTCAATGACCTCAAAATCTCCTTAATAACGAGTTTGCACTGATTTTGTATCGATGTATCGAATTTCCACAAAACTCCAGCGGATGGGGTCCATCTTGGGCACCAGGTACTTGGGAGAGCATCGTCGTCATGAAATTTGTGTTCAGTGACCCCAAAAACCCCCGAATAGTAATATCGAATTCATTTCCGTCAATTATTTTCGATTTAAAACTTTTCATCACTTCGAAATACACTTTGGAAAAACTATTCTGCTTGTTCAATAATGCAATTTTCATTTCTACCTCATCATTTTTGTTCACAAAATTTCTTGACACTTTTAGGAATCGAATGCAACAAGTTTCATTGAGGTCCATCCAACTGCAAAAATTTGGTAGGTTTTGGGATTTTTACTGCTGCATTGCCTCGTCTATATCTGTTGAGGCATTCTTTAAAAGCTCACATAACTGACACTACCGATGGCAACCCAGAGGCGTTGCGCGCTAGTTCTCTTTTACTTTATCTTTGATTACTAATTGAATTAGAACTATTTGCGGCCACTTTTTGACTGGCAGCCTGTTATCAATGTATTCTCCTATTCTTAAATGTATGTAAAAATGTCAGTTTGATTAACTACGTTATGAACGTAGTGATCTTACAGGGAGATCTCATTATTGGGTACATAATGACTTTTATTAATTTCTGATTTCATTTATTTTAATTCTTTTTGCTGATAGTTCAATCCCACTTGATTCTTCAAAAGCCTAGTTTATTTCATGTTTTTGGTTGTTATAATTATATTCATACTTACTTTCCATCAGGAGTAATGATAGCATGGGTAACTATAGCACCCAAAGGACTGTCAGCCAATTTTGCGGTTAGTTTACCTACTCGAAGGTCCCAAACACCTACACAATTTCTGGTAGCTGTTACAGCTAGACTTAAGTTATCTGATAAACTACAAAATAAAGCATATTAAAAATCGTTGGAATCTACAGATACAAGATTAAAATGTACACATTAAGAACTATTAAAAAATCATTTTTAAAGCTGTTTTTCAGGATGTAAAATCCAAAATGAAATGATCACATATTAAAAGTTAAAAGCACACATTACTTTTATAATATAAAAAAGTTGATCGTGTTCTAAAAAAATGGTCAACGATCCAGGTCGACTAAACTTGTATAAAATAGACATTTGTAGTGTAATACTGGTCCTGTGACCTTGTATATATAGCATGATTCAAGAATAAAAACCCGGCTATAACTCCTAAATGTCTCTGGCTATATGAAAAGACTGTTTTCGGTAAAGTAAAGATATGACTTTTTCTATCGTAAAGATATTCGACTTTTCTAGTCGATCGGATAGCCAAGCGGGCTGGGCGGCTGGCTTCTCTTTCGCGTCAATGCGAGAGATGTCAGTTCAAATCCCCAGCTCGGTGTACAGAAAACAAAAAGTCTAACACAGCAGTTTAAAATTCTAAATGAATCTGCGGCTTAGTCTAGAATATGCTGGTATCTGATAGGCCTATGGTGGAGCAGTACGGTAAGAGATAAGGGCTTGCGGTTCGGTGATACTCCTCCATAGATCCCTACCGGAAGGACGTGTGCCGCCTAAATACCGGATATATATATATATATATATATATATATATATATATATATATATATATATATATATGACTTTTTCTACTCATAATAGATTTTTATTGCTCTGGCTTTTAAATCTTTAAGCCCTTAAGACTTTCGCCAATTAATGGCAAAATGTCAATATTCGGTAAAGCAGGTAGGAATCTATCTGAATTTTTAGAAGAATAGAGACACTTGAATCAATATTAATACAATTATTTTTATCAATAATTCATTTCCCATTTTAATTTTACATTAAATTTCATGATCGTTGTCATCAAAATAATCGCTGTCATAGCCATATACAGAGTTGGCTACTCAAAAGAGCCCACCTTGATATTTGACCATAATAAGTGTTATACCTCTTAAACTAAATGTTGTTTTTAAACTAAACTTTGTTTTTATTACCGCCAGTAGCTATAGGATACCTTATAGCATAAGGAAATTCTGAATTTCTTCGTTTCTGGAGCTGGTGTAGTACAATAATTGCACTATTAGGAGGAAGATTTTTCTATTTCAGCCAAAATTCAGTATTTGTGAAGATTCAACTTGACAGTTAGCATTGAAAAGAAATTATAGTTCTTTCGTCTTCTTCTTTTTATGTAGACATGACTGTCTGTTTTTCAATGTGCCTCCAGTAAGTTGTCGTTCCATCGTTTTCGTGGTCTTCCTATTGGGAACTTTCTCTTGCCGTCTTTACTACTCTCTTTGTTGTCTGTCCCATAGCGTCTTACAATCAATTTTTCATCTCAAGTGTTTTCATCTCTGCTGTTTCTAACATCCTTTTTGTCTTCTCTGTGTTAGGTCGTGTTTCTGCCGCGTATATCATTATTGATATGATGACTGTTTTGTAAATACTGCCTTCTGTAGGCAGCCTGCGGCTCTGTTTGCCCTATTTACTTAATCTTCCACATCAGTTTCGAGCTCTCGGTAGCTAGATAATGTGATGCCTAGATATTTAAAGTCCATCACTTGTTCTATTATGTGACCTTCCAGCTCCAAGTTACATCTTAGTAAATTTGCTGTTGTAACCATTCATTTTGTCTTTTTGGGGAAATTAACATGTTAAATTTTCTGGCGGTTATATTAAATTGGTGCAGTATACGTTATAAATCGTCTTCACTTTGAGAGAGTAGGATTGCGTCGTCTGCATAGCTGATTATTTTAAGTTGTTTTTCTCCCATTTGGTATCCTTTTTTAGTTCTTGCTTTTTTATAATTTCATCCATAATCAGGTTGAACAATAGAAAACTCAGGGAATCTCCCTGTCGTATCCCACTGCCAGCTTCAATAGGGTCGGGTAGTTCTTCTACTTTTACTTTTATTGTGTTGTTTTGGTAGATATTTTCGATCGTTTAAATTATTCCTAGAGGTATCTCTCTTGCGTACAGTAAGTGGATAACGTGCTCTAATTTGACCTGGTCAAATGCCTTCTTAAGGTCCACGAAACATAGATATGCCGGTTTTTTGTATTTTAATGATTTCTCTTGCACTTGTCTCATAAATATAGCGTCAGTGCATGATCTTCCCGATCTACAACATTGTTGTTCTTCTGCTAGTGTTATAAGTTCATTCAGTTTATTTGTTATCACTTTATAAAAGTGAAACTGGAACAAACCATGAAGTGGAGATATCCAGGAGTGGCTAGTATACCTGTTGAATACAAAGCACGTGGTGTTCGTGTGTATTAAGGTATAAAGTTATAAAGCTATCAGTTAGCCCTAGACTCCAACACAGATCAGAGGTAATGTAAGTCAATAAAACTTCACCAACTACAGGGGGTCATATAAGATGCCCCCAGTTTCATTTTTTATATTACACAAGTCAAGAGTCTATTGCATTTACCTGAATAAATAACACGAAGAATATTATTTTTTAAATCCAGATGTCAACCGAACGTTTTTTTTATGTGGCCACACAATGTTTTTTAACAACCTTTTTTATTAAACTGATGATGGAATGATACAATTCCGAAAAGATCTTCTTTATAATAAAAAATTTTAAGCTTTTAATAAGCGTTTTTATACCTTAATACACACGAACACCACGTGCTTTGTTATCACTTTAGTTGTTAATTTTAGTGTTTTTCCGGGTCCGATTTGTATCCCTTTTTGAAGAGAGGTATTAGGATGCTTGATTCTTGAATTCTGTTTTGTTCTATTATTTTTTGGATTAGTTTTAATAGTTGTTTGGTCATATCTGGTCAGAAATTATAGTTGCATACTATTTTTCAAAGTAAAAACGTTGCATGTCACGATTTATACAAAGTGACGTCACTTGTATTTAACATGTCCAGAACATCAACCTCAGAATTTATATTTCCCTAACACAGCTAATAATACCTCACCTATGAGGAACTGCTCGATCTTTCATAGGCGTCAACAAGGTATAATAATCACAAAAATGAAATCATGATTGTATTGAGAATTTTAAAATTATATTGATGAAATATCCAAAAACGTTATTATTAATAATATAAATTTTATGAAGTAAGCGTTAAACTTTAATATTCCAAAAATAATAATTTCAATTAAATAGATTAGACAATCGTACGTCATTGATACAAGAATACTTCGAATTTCAATGACAGTTCAGCGTTTGCCAATATTGTTTGCAGTGTTGCCGCTTTTTTAGAGTAAGAATTTTGTTTACGTTTTTATTTCTTACACAATTTGATTCACAATATATTATATATTAATAGATTGTATTTATAAATACATACAAAAAATTTAGAGTGAAAGAGAAAGACTTGTACTAATGCAAGTCATGTATGAGAGGTTAACAACTAGTGTTAGAACGAATGCAGGTGAAACTGTGAAAGTTGGGCTTTATTAGGGTTCTTTGTTAAGTCTGTATTTATTCTCATTCATGCTGGATCAGAAAACAGTTAAAAAACGTCGAAGAGAGATCCTTGGTCTTTAATGTATGCAGACGTTTTTTGTGTTGGAAGTAAAATCTAAGATATTAAGTTTCTGTATAAATTACTTCATTCCAAAATTAACTGAATTTATTGATCCAAGGCTGACTGATTAATTGAATAACCTATTGTCTTTAATTGATTTTAATATCCCTTCGAGATTTACTCGGTTATTTTCAAATGTTACAGTTAGTTTCATATGTGTAATTTTGTTAAACATTCTCCAATTAACAGAATTATTCTAAATGGTAATAAAATAGATCTTGACTTATTTCTATGTGCTTGAAGAATATTTCTAAGCAAAGTGTAAAGCGACTAGGTTTTGTAAATTTTTTCAATTTAATGCAATATATTTATTGCTTGTATACTTTATAATTTAATGTATCATTTTGTAATATTTTATATGTAATTGTGTGGTACCCGTTAATAAATAAATAATTAATTTTTTTATATATTAAATATATATTATGTGTGGATTTTCTTTACCTTGTGGATGTATGTGGAGAATGCGAATATTGAAGAATATGTTTAGACATTTTTATTTATTTTTAAAGGCAACACAACTTAAAAGTGGTAGTTTATCCCTAGAGACCGAGTATAAGCATTTGGTGCACACCTCAGTTTTTTGGAGGCCTCTTCATAATTCAATTCGATTAGGTTCTCTTGAATGTTATCCCGAATGTTATCCAACCCATTCCTGAAATCTTATAAATCAGTTGAAATTTCTGTCCATTTTACATTCTCACAATTCTGTCAAATCATTTCACAATACTCATTCTTTATTTTATATACCCCTTTCTATTTCCTTTTTATCACACATGCTTCCCTGTCCTTTTTAATGTTACACTGAATTCTACCCAATTTAGATGCAATATTACATAATAAAAGTTATTGGTTTATTTAGTGCCTCACTAGTTGAGTTTCCTAAATGTGATTATTTTCTTCATTTTAAAAATCTAATTGACTAGTGTATTGTATTCTTAAATAGTTGACATTTTAAAAATTTCTCACTTATTAACTATTCTGATGTTTTGACAACGCTGTGGAGTTTAGACGTAAATTTTAAATAATGTGCACTCATTTTTATATGAAAAATCCTATAACAAAGATTTAAAGACAAAGATATAAAACTCTATATCTTTACCTGCACCATACTACTTCATACTTTTAGATAATTTTTTCATAAAAGAAATTTTATACGAGTATATTGTCTTAGTGTTTACCTTATAGAATCTACTTGTAGTTCATGCCTGTCTATCACATGGACTGTTTCGAAAATATTATTTATGTTCCATACTTTTGCCGTTCGATCTATAGAAGATGTAACAATGCTGTTCCAGTTGCCTACGGTCAATGGTTCTAATTGGATTATACGTCCAAAATGTGCATCCAAAACCTTAACCAATTTTTTCGATTCCATACTCCAAACATATAGATTCTTTCTAAAATATATCAGAACATGAAATTTAATAAATACACTGGCGTTTATGGAATGTGTTCGTGTATTGAATATGTTCATATTCCTATTATTGAAACATATGTTGCTTATTTTTGTTAAAAAAAGCATAAAACCAAATATTAGATTATACCTCACCTTACTCCTGCGATGGCGTAATTTTTGTGTGCACTCAAAGTTATCGAGTTAGATTGTGACATTTTTGTAGTGATATTTCTTGTACCATATGGAAGACTTAAACTGACTACATTTTCGTAATTTCTTTCTTCATTAAAATCCCAAATAACAAATCCATTATTAGTTGTACCTTAAATATAAAATCTAAACTTAAAATATAATATGTATTTTACAAATTTGAACATATATGAGGCTTCCTCCATTTGAGCCTTTATTTTTTTATGGGTTGAGCTTTTAGAGTCCAATCTTCTACCCCATCTAGCACTTGCGACCATGCATTCGGCGAATCTCAATCTAATAGCCATACTTAATTTTTTATTTGTTAAACATTGACTTGTAATTTATAAATCCTTTTTAAGCTATTTATCTAACTGTGAGTTTATAATTGCTCCCAGGTGTTTATATGTGTCGACCCTCTTTAACGGTATACTCTCCAATGTCAGATGTATGTTGTTAACAGGGGTTTTCGAGGTCACCATGTATTTGGTTTTATCTATATTCATTATTAGTCCCATGGTGTTGGTCTTCTCTGCTAATGATTTCTACAGGAATTTGTAAATCATCTATTTTTTCTGCTTTGATTGCGGTATCGTCTGCAAATCTTATGTTATTAATGATGGTCGCTTTAATCCATACACCTCTTGAAATATTAGTTGGCAATATACATTAAATAATTGTGGAGACAGCACATATTCCTGTCTGACTTTTCTTTGAATTTTTACTTGGTTTGTTTAATTGAGTCTAGATTTTTGATTAAATTGATATGCTTAATTTCAAATGGAAATTCATCAGGACCTAGTGGTTTACCACTTTTTGAGTTTTAATTACCTGTTTCATCTCTGATATTAGAATTTCTATATTTTCATTATGAGTGGAGAGAAATTCTTAAGGATGCTAGGACCCACGCAGGGTTGTAAAGCCAGAATGATGATAATGATACTTTCATTACTTGGTAATGTTTTATTTATTCCTTCCCTATGATGTCTTAAGAGGTCCTTGATGTATTTCTCCCAAGTCTGTTGTTTTTCTTCTTCTGATAATTTGGGGATACTGTTGAGAGTTGTACAGTTTTATGTAATGTTCGTATATTCCAAGTTACAGTACGATTTATATTTATTTTGCTTTTACACCCGGAGATTTTTTGCGCCTCTGTCCCATTTAAGAGACGCCAGGCACTCGGGACCGTTTTGTTTTGACTCTCCATTAATGATTTTTCTTGAGATATTCTTAGGGATCTTTAATGCAGTGGTTTTTTCTTGCCTTTTGCATCCTTATGCCGTTGATCATTCATGGTTCATCCACCTTTGATCTTTCATCTCAGGATAAAACAGTGCCCTTCCACTTAACAACTCATCCGCCAGAATTCGTTGACCAGCAAGCTCCCTTCCTTGTCAGCCGTGACCATACCTTCTATTGGGGTTGGTTACCCAATCTCCAGCAGGGTTGCTCAAGTAACCAGGCTTTACCCATGTAACCATGATCATACTTATTAGAGTTTAGGATAGGAATTGGGTAGGAGAGGCTAGAGGTGCTATCTGGAAGCAAGACCTTATGATGCGCATCACTACCTTGTTTAAATTTCAACAAATTTAAAGCCTCAAATACAGAGATATAATCTTCTAGTGGAATAGAAATGTCTGCACCCGACCCTTCTGCAGTTTTAAACCCATCTGGGTACTAGCTATAAGGTTGCAGTATGGGTCGAGTGTTTCGTCTGCCCCATCCCTCTCGTGGATAAATGTCCACTTCAAAAGACACTTTGTATAACCTTTACTTTTCTCAGGTTTTCTCGCAGTCTATATCACATTCTCGCCTCCGCTTTGCAACTATGTGGAAAGGAGTAAGTTCCAGTAAGGCTTTTTGCAAGCAAGCTAAGCAAATCTTTGGATTTCCTAAGGAACATTTTTTTAGGTGATGTTACTAGTTTTTTCTACACTTTCGACCAGCATACCATTAATGCATATTATTGTTGGTTTTACCACCACGTTATAAATCAAATATAGCATGTCTGATTTTAAATCCCTCATTAACGTAGTATCTGCTGATTCCAAGTAAGCCTCGAGTCTAATATTACTCCAAGGTACGTTAGTCACCAGATTTAGATGGGCGTCATTTGAGGTTTAGAAGACCCAATCTGTCTAAATTCCTCCTACTGTTAAATTTCTTTATTTTGGACTGTTGTGAATTTAATATTTATTTCAGAGGACGCTGTAGATTCACCATATGTAACATGCACTATTTATCCACTTGCCATTAATTTTTTTTTTGTAATTTTCCGCATAAAAATGTTTTTTGTTTCATATTTTTGTTTTCTTTGATAAAATATAATATATTATATAATACATATATAATATATATTATATAACCTTCCAAAACAGAAGGATCGACAAACATTGAAAGGATGTCGATTCATATTTTCCAGGTACCTTTAAAACATACACATAATGTTATCATTGTCATTGATCATGTCATTACCAGTATGATCCAAAGAAATTGTAAATTGTAATGTCAGTACATAGTTTGCTAATAAAACCTGTTTAATCTTTAAAACCTTTAATCTGATAGATTCGAAACATGGCAACAAGAGAAATATGACGTGAATTAAAAATTTTTAAACTCAAACGTATACAAAAAATGGACCAAAGATTTTCTGGCAACTGGACCAATAATTAATAAAATGCGGTCTTCACACTCAATTCCATCCAGCGCCAGTTTAAAATCACAGTACCATTTTGAAGATTGTGCATTTGTCATTGCAACAAATCAAATAACAACAATATATATTTAGTCTTACCAAATAATATATTATCGTGTTTATCCAATTTTAGCTGTAAAATAGCCTCAGTATCATCATTTGATGTTCTCGGTAAGTCTTCTAATTTGTACCATATTTTCGATTCGTTATTTTTTTCATATTTTGAAACTTGGTAGGAATCCGGCGTAGTGCATGCATACAAAACAGATTTGTCTTTTATAAATACAATCGCACTAAAAAAGAGAATAATTATTAAAAGTATTTTAATAAACAAAAATAAAGGTAGTGACAATTCTTATACCACATTTTATCACAAAATATATATCAAAAAACCGTTTTATCTAAGACCACTCTTTGCTACTCAAGACATAAGTATCTATGAGATACTAGATAATTAGTTACAAAGTCAACATTAAATGTTGGTACACGCCGGTAACCTGAGCAACCTCACTGGAGATTGGGTAACCAACCCCCAGTGGAAGGTGGGGTCAGGGTTGACGAAGAAGGGAGTCTTGGTCCTCCGACGAATAGGGGGTTGGGCTGAAGGTTAACTACCTTCTCCTAGAAAAACTATGAGTTATGAACGTTCAAGGAAGAAAAGCCGGACTGATCAAACGACGACGACTGTGCGAGAAAAAGGGGTTGCGACATGGAATATTCGAACCTTATATAGATTGAGACCTCTCCACAATCTCCTAAATGAACTAGACAGATACAAAATAGCCATAACTGCCATGCAAGAAATGAGGTGGGTTGGAAACAATGTAATGAAAAAATGAAGCCATACGATTTTCTACATCTGCGATCCTAAATATCACGTCTTGGACACAGGATTCATAGTAAACAAGAGAGTAAAGCATACTATTATAAAGAGATTTCATAGCCATTAGCCCAAGAATGTGCATTTTAAGAGTTAAAGGTCGTTTCTTTACCTAGAGTCTAATTAATGCGCATGCCCCGACAGAAGAAAAAGAAGAGGAAATTAAAGAAGAGTTTTATGATGAATTAGAGTCCGCATATCAGTTATGCCCAAAAAATGATATAAAAATAATCTATGAAGACCTAAACTCCAAAGTTGGAAGAGAACAGCAATTCCAACCCACAATAGGTAGGCACAGTCTCCATGAGTAATTAAATGACAATGGCAATAGGTTAATAAACCCATCAATATTACTTAACATGGTGATTGCCAGCATATACTTCGCTCGCAAAGATATACACAAAGGTACCTAGAAATTCCCATATGGGCTTACAGTAAATATGATAGATCATGTCATTGTAGACTCGAGACACCAATCGAATATAATAAACGTCCGCACCAGAAGAGGGGCAAATGCGGATTCTGATCACTACTTGGTCGAAAGCAGGGTAAGGGCTAGAATTTCAAACATAAAAAAGGAAAGAGGCTCTAAACATGAACGGTACAAGGTAGAAGGACTCAAAGAAACAAACAAAAATAAAGAGTATAAAGAAAAAATAAACAACAAACTAGAAAACAGACTAACACATGAAACACTAAATAAGGAGTGGGAAGAATGCAGAGATATCATAAAAGAGGCAGCTAAAGAAGTATTAGGCATAGAAGGTAGAGAAAGGAGAACAAGAACGAATGACTGGTTTGACGAAGAATGTCAGATTATAACAGACAGAAAAACAGAGCGTGAGTCAGAGATATGGACTTTCACTGAACAATAAGAAAACAATGTGTGATGATCTCTAAGAAAGAACAGCAAATTGAAAGAATCAGTGTGAATGGTCAACCAATAGAAAGAGTAAAAACATACACCTACCTTGGTATGAACGTCAATGAAAAGTGGGACTATTCCCTAGAAATAAGATGTAGGATAGAGAAAGCAAGATCGGCATTTCAAAAAATCGCTAGGCTATTCAAATGCCATGATTTATCAGTAGCCATAAAAATCAGGTTACGACGATGTTATCTGTAAACTGGTGTTACTGACGCAGTTCAAAGGATTACAACATTGAAATGGAACTGGGCAGGACATGTTGCCAGATTAAAAGATGGAAGATGGACGAAGAAAATTTTGGAATGGAGACCTAGACACGATGCTTATCGTAATCGAAGACGTCCTCCAACAAGGTGGTCAGATGACATCAAGCGCATTCAGCACAACTGGATTCAGGGTGCTCAAGATAGAATGCATTGGAACTATTTACGGAAAGCCTATGTCCAGGAGTGGACTCACAACGACTGATGATGATGATGATGATGATGATGATGATGACGATGTTATATCTTTCCTATACTGTTGTACGGAGTTAAGTCGTGCACTCTCACAGACGCTACCTGCAAGAAAATTGGAGCTTTAGAAATGTGGCTTTATCGTCGAATCCTGAAGATATCCCATACCGACCACGTTATTAACCAGGACGTTTTATTAAAAATGAAAAAAGGAAAAGAGTTGTTAACCACAATAAAAACAGCCAAAATCGAATACCTTGGATCACACCATGAGAAACAGCGAAAGATATAGGTTGCTGCAATTAATTCTACAAGGAAAAGTAGAAGGAAAACGAGGACCAGAAAGGCGAAGCACTACAAGAAGAAGAATAATGCAGGGCAAAATCAAAGGCAGAAGAAGCGTAGGAAGTCGTAAAATCTCGTGGCTACGCAATCTACGTGAATGGTTTAAATGCAGTTCAGTTTAACTATTCAGGCGCGTAACCAACAAATTATAATTGTCAGAATGATTTCCAATCTCCGATAGGAGCGGAACTTGAAGAAGAAGAAGAAGAAGTAGTAGTAGTGAAAAACCGTCTAGCATATTGCTCTGATATCATTTTATTGTAAAATTACCAGAAAAAAATTATAAGGTCCAAAAGAAAGTTTTTCCAAAATTTTTAGTTATTTTTGTTTAACTTTTTTATTTTCCTTTTTACAATTAAAACTAATAGAAATAAAGTTATAGACAATTTAATTTGCTACAAATAATGTCTGATACAATTTTTGTATGGTTGCCAGTGTACGAGATACAACGCGAAAACCCTTTCCCCTTCTTTTTCGAGATGGCCGGCGGGGACAACGGTGGCGATCCCACAAACTTACCCTCTCAACACATCAAAAAGTAACATTGCGTCCTCTAAGAAATTAACGCTAAGGCATAAAAAATGTAACATTTTAATGGGCTAATTACATATGTGGTTATATTATAATACAAATTTTTCCAGTTTTTGTTATTTCAAAAATATCTATTACAAATTATAAAATGTTTTCATAGAATTCGTTACCTTAAATTAAAATTTTTCTTATCTATATTTCTTGACTTGTATTATACCGTCACTACCTAAACAATAGTCGAATAATACCCATCAAGATACATACACATTATCATTTTTATCAATCTTTAAAAAATATTGGATATTTTACTGACGAAATGTTGCGATAAAACAGTGATAAGGGAATTATTCTATTAAACCTAGAACTGCCACACCAACCATCAAGGTAATTTGGTAAATATTTTGGAAGTATATGAGTATTAGTTTTATAGTGTATTTTTTTATGTAAAAGGTGACAGGAAGTGTGTTTTCTTTTTGAAGTGACAGTTAAATTCCGTGTCAGTGAATATTAGCGAAATATATTGTGTTATATAGCGTCATGTGTAATACATGACGAGTGGTATTGTCTCCTTAGAGTTCGTTATTGCTGAATAGATTTGATGTATGCACTGTATAAAAATTAGTAAGTTGTTATTACGGCTATTCTCTTATTCAAAATTTTATTTTCTTTGACTAATGCTTCCTTTTCAAACGATTTATCCCTGATCACTTCTGCATTAAGTATATGATTATCACACCCTTCATAGTAATTTTTGCACTAGAAAAATTGGGTGTTATATCCAAAACCATCAAGTTTTTTTGTTATTGTATTTCTATGACATAATTGCAAACTCTTATACCCTTCAGCTATCTGTACAGGAAGCGAAAATGTTATTTTCAACTCAATCAGCAAAATAAAGTAAATATTCATTCCTAAAATAACAAATCGTTTAGTGATGAAGTAGATGAGACAATTGAAAGAAGAAACGTGAAAGGGAAGATTGGGTGGAGAGAACGGTTGAGAGAATGAATACAGTAAAAATTCCGAAAATCCTTAGTAGTAGTAGTAGTTTAATTTCGTGAGGCATTACTTGAAGAAAATGCATAACTCTTGTAAGCTTGTTAAAGTGGATGATTGTCTAAAATTACTTTAATTTGTAAGTATTATTCAAATTCTAAAAATTCTCTCTGGAACGTGGATAGCTCAATCTTGTTTTATCAACCTTTTCCTTTTCAATGTTCAACGTAGGTATAATTTCTTCACATTTTCAATATGTCCAATGTCATTAGCTCCCGTTATCGTCCAAGTTACTTGTATTTTAATGAAACCTGTATTTAATTTTTATCTTAGTAGTAAAAGCAAATTTTTTCAAGCCAACACGATTTTCGTCTTTTTAGTCTGGTGTTTCAGATGCTAAAACTCGTTACTTCGTTGTCATTGATTAATACAAGTTTTTATCATCTTTGTTCTTCAAATTCTTTATAAATTCTGACACTGAATTATCCAAATTTTTTTGAATATTTTGAAAAATGGATATGTTGTCATTTAATTTAATACACCTGCATTCATGTGTTTTATCGACCTCCCTAAAGCCTTCGATTGTATTAGACTACAAAATATGATTGAACTTTTACACAGAGAGACTAAAACAGCCAGTAACACAGATAATAAAGGATATTAACTCTGATCACAAAACAAGAATAAAAATAGGAACCGAACTAACGGGGGAAGTCAACATTTAATCAGGTATAAGACAGGGTGATAGCTTGAGTCTGTTATTGTTTATCTTGATAATGAACAAACTAATAGAAGAAGTAAAAAAGTCAGGAACAGGGTACAAAATGGGTAACAGAGCAATAAAGATTTTATACTACGCAGATGACGCAGTAATAATATCAAATAATGAAGATGACCTACAACTAATGGTCCACGCTTTGAAAGCTAACACAGAAAAGTTTAACTTGAAAATATCAGCACTAAAAACAAAGTCTCTCGTTATTGCTAGAGACCTAGATACACAATTGTAATAAACGAATAAATAATAGAACAAGTATAGAAATTCAACTATCTGGGAACGCAAATATTGTATTATGGAAACATCTCGGCATACAAGCTAATAAATCAGCGTACATGTCAGGATGCCTACGGGAAGTGATATGCAAAGATAGGAACATGAGGATAGAAGGAAAAACACGCATATATAAGACTTGTGTACGACCGATATTAATCTACGCTATAGAAACAAGAGCAGAAACAACAATTACAAAGAAAATCTTAAGAACAATGTAGCAAGTAAAACTTTAAGAGACAGGATCCCTAATACACAAATCAGTGACATGTGCAAAGTACATGATATCGTCAGATGGGGACGCCAAAGAAGACGCTAAATGAATGGAACCAACACATTAACAGAATGGGAGAGAGAGACTTGCCGAATAGTAAGAGATGGAAAGCCAGGAGGTAAAAGACCACAAGGCAAATCCTATAAAGGGTGAAGAGATAGCTGGCAGTCAACAAAGCAAAAAATGTTAAATCAGACCGGCAACAACAGGCCTTAAGGCCTAACATACGCAGAAGAAGAAGCTTTGTTGTGGCTGTTTACGACATACTGAATATTCTTCTATTCTATATATCTTAGCAGATCTGTAGCGATTATGAGTGTTGACGTTCTCTCAGGATTCCTCTTGCTCTTGTGATGCTGAATCTCCATTTTCCTCTATTTTGAGTTACTCGTATTACACTTGCGAAGTTTGTATCTAGTAGTTCCTCCACTATGTCGCTCCATCTGGCCGGTTTTCACTGAACTGTTAGCCTTTCTTGATTTTCTGTGGGTGCGATATGACTAAAGAAGGTTATTGTCATTATAAATTTAAGTTAGACAGACGTCGTGGCTTGTTAATCTTGTAAAAAACTGATATATTCGTCTTTCTGGTTGTCCAAGATATTCGAAGCATTATTTTCCAATACCACCAATTGAACAATGCGTCAATTATTTCTCTCTCTGCTATTCGAATGGGTCAAATTTTATGCTAGATTGATCGTAGTATTTTTTTATATTCTTGTTTTTTGGTTACATTGACTTAATTCATGTTCCTCATTTATTCTGTTTAATTTGTTTGTACCAATGAATCTCTCTGGGCGATAAATACTGTGTCTTTAGCAAGTCTTGGTTATACACTATATCCCCACTTATTAAATTGCCTATTTCCCAATTTATAAAACTAGTCTCATAAATTCGTTATATAGGTTAAGTATTATTGAAGATAATTTTCAATCCGTACCTGTTTTGTACCTTTTTTTCTGATTTTATACAGTAATGAATAGATCTTTGACCTTAGACCAAATGTTGAGGTCTTCAAAAAAATGACAAAAGGAAAGGGAAATCATGAATACGATTACGATAAGAAAGTTATGATACGTTATGAGAGGGGATAAATATGTGTTGCTACAAACCATAATGCAGAGCACAACACAGGGAAAACGAAGTATTGGAAGAAGACGCATCTCCTGGCTCAATAATCTGAGAAAGTAGTATAATCGCAGTTCCATCGACTTGTTCAGAGCTGCAATCTCAAAAGTGAAAATAGCTGTGATGATTACCATCCTCCTTAGAGGAGACGGTAGGTACCTAAAGAAGAGAAGAAGCATAGATCTTTTTTAATCTCACGAATGCTTTATTGTGGTCATACACACTTGGAATCAGTTTAGCCAGATGATTTAGTATAACCATGTTAATCAAAATTAAATATGTGAAACACATATCCTTGAGGCTGTTATATTATTTTTCCTTTTTGATTAGTATTTGTATATTTAGAATGAGTTCTCGCGTTCCCTTCCCTTTGCAAGTCCGGATTGTTCTGGAGCTATTGGATGGTTGCTACCTTCATATAACCTATTTGGTATCATCTGCAAAACGGTCTTACTTGCATTTCAATGAGACTAGTCCATAACTGTATTACCTTTCACTTCACACCAAAACGTTCCAGCTCATTCTGTGGGTACGACTGTAATTAATAACTCTACCAATTTGCTGTAAAGCGTAGCCTTTTACCAACTGCAGTTACAAACATTAAATGTCTAACTGTAATATCCTCCAGTGAGAAGAAAATAGCATAATTTTTGGTAAGGGGAGAGCGGTTTTTAATGTGGGGGAGAGGTAACTCTTCTTAAAGGGTGCTTTCGACTAAATAGATAAGATTCAAAGAAATGCAATGATGGCACAGAAGGCCTTTAAAACAATTCAATTTCATATCTTCTTCAGTCACTTATAGCACCTAATGGGAGTATGTTTGTTAAGCTAAAGCTATGGCGAGAAGAAAGCATTGTGAAGTTGTGAACGAACGTCGGATACTTTTGACAAATCTTAAATGTGGTGGTTACTGACTATTACTAATAAAACTTTTCCTAAGTCTAGGATTACAATTTCTACTGTGTTCCTCCAAATAAGTTGTAGTTTATATAGAAATAACAGTTGTTTCCTTAACAGATAGCTGATCAAGATGAAAATAAATACTTTTAATTCTGGAAGAAAAATTACACCTACCTGTGGAACTCCAAGTATTCAAAATCTCCTTCCGAGTGTAAAAAGAGTGACATTCGATCATCGTCTAAATTATCTTTCCAGAAGATAATTCGATATTCTTCTTTATTATCAAACTCCATATCTACAATATTAGCAAATAAGAAATATACACATTAGAAATGTCTAAGGAATACGAATATTATTCCTGCCTTTTTAAACAAAAACTTTTCACTTTTTCGTAAACACCAATCGATTAGTAAATTTGTTCTATACAAATAAAGATATGCCATGAAAATTAATCTGTTAATTTCATTGTTTTATTAAGATAAAAGTAATATGTCTCAACTTCGTTACATTAATTATAAAGCGGAGACTATACTACTCGCGAAGTTGATCGAAGTTCAGCGAGTACGAGAGTGTAGACAGGTACTTCATGCGACTTTGCTTCGCCTCGTTCTACTTCCGTTCTGTGTCGGTTTTTCGCGTCCGAGTCAAAAGGGCCCGAAGTTCGAATACGAAGTGTCACACTACAGTACTCGACTTCACGAGTATGTAGAGAGTCACCTCACTTCGATTAATTTCACTTCTTCCGAAGAACTTCGATCGAGAGTGTAGACGGCGTTTAAAGTAATTGCAAAGTGGAAGGGTGGCCTTGGCAAACTCTGTGGGGGCCTTAATACCTACCCACATCATCAATATGTGTGACCAGACTATGAGGAATAGATAACATGATTCTGGCATACACGTCAGACATTCATTAGTGGTTCCCATGTCAAGTGGTAAAATTTGTGGATTAAGATTATGGTGGATATAATCCCATGTGCATTGGAACTTATAAGAACGAAGGTCCTTGTTATCCACAGATGAAACCAGGTTGTGCCTCTACTAGGAATTAAGAATAGTGGAAATCTGGAAAGGACCTGATCGGTAAGAGAGATTTAGGCATGTAGGCATGATCACTCATATAGTGATCTACAAGTTATGATGTGGACTGCAATTATTTTTCATCTTACAACCGTTCCTTTCAACCGTTCCCGTTGTTCTGAAAGGCACTTTGAATATGTATTAATATATTGAGCTATATTGGAATCTGTTGTCCTTCTATGTGCCACTGCTACAACCCATAATGTAGGTTACATACAGAATCATGAAAGGCTACATACTGGGGCAATAGTACGAGATTAGTTTGATAATGAGGATATTATCTGTCTGCCATGGCCAGTACAGTTGCCAGACCTTAATTAAATCGACCATGCATGGAATATGCAACAGACATTGATAACTTCTCATCTGTATAATGTTCATACTAGTCAAGGTCTTCAATATCTTACTCAAGACTGAAATTTATTATCCCAATAGTATAGCAAGGTGAGAAGATAAAATTAATGCTGCTGAAGGAAATGCAGATTATTAGAAACATTTTTGTTTAGATGTTTTATAGAAATTATATTAGAATTTGAGAGAACTATTTTTTCCTCGTCAGAGGGAAAACATATTACACTGAAATTAACATGAATTCATTCATCAAATCATGACATATAGTGAGTTTTTAAAATCTAATTTAACTTGATTTATATGCGGGGAAAAACTTCGTATCTCTTAGACATTTGTTTTGTGTTCTTTTTTAGCTATTATTTAAGTTATTACACATACGTAATATGCTCCAATCTGACATATCCAGTGGGGAACGATACTCTTCTTGCCTTGTTCCCCTCATATCAAATTTGATCCAAGTATCTCTGCCGTATATATAAAGGTTATGGTTTAGAAGGTATATTCCTGTCACTGCACTTTCATCTACTAGGGGATTGTCGATTGTTACGAATTCACTTGATAGCATATTGAGCAGAATTGTCTGAAATAATAATTAGTATACATTCGAATGAAAATAAAAGATGTACAAACAAGTAATTTATTCCTATTAGTAGGATTCAACCAAAGGGACAATAATTTATTTGCCCCCAATATTTACAGTTTATAATTAATATTTATAATTTTTATATTTTATAATTACATTTATAATAATTAATTAATACATTTTATAATTAATATTTAATATATATTTTATAAATTTAATTTTAATTATTGCTGCTTTTTCTATATTGGTATGCTATATTTCTGCACTCTATTTTGTTGATAGGATTTTCTTCCCAATTCGTGCTTACTTCTTCGTTACGTGCTATCTTCATGGAAGAGGTTGGCAACCATCATGGCTATTCTGATCTTAGATGCGGCTACCCTGAAAAGTTCGATAAATGAGCATCTATACAATTCCCAAAAGTTGCGCAGCCATGAGAGTCTTCTCATTTTCTTAATTTTTCCTTGCATATCTAGTTAAATTAGGTAATGTTTTTCGCCACGCATAACATGCTCCAGATACTGCAGCTTTCTGGTTTTGATGGTTTTTTATTATTTCTGTTCTCTTATGCATTCTCCCCATCACTTCATTGTTTGTTACATGATGAATCCTTGATATTTTTAAGATTCTCGTATATACCCACAATTCAAATGCTTTCCGTTTCATAATTGCCGCCGCGCTCGACGTCCACGTCTTCATTCCATGTAGTAGTGTCCAGAAAATATAACAACTTTGCCAACCTAACTCTTAATCCAGCTTCAGATCCCTTGTACAAAGCACCTTCCTCAGTTTGTTAAAATCTGTACGTGTTTTTTCTATGCGCACCCTAATTTTTATGGCGTAATCATTCCTGTGGTTGATTATGGTGCCAAGATGATTGTAATTTTCTACTTGTTCAAGAGTTTCTCCGTTAATTGTTAACCTTTCATCATTATTTTGTGATTATTTTGAAATCTTCATAAATTGTGTTTTCTTGATATTAATTGAAAGGCCATATTCTTTTGCAAGATCAATAACTAGTTCATCAGTCTTCGAGATTTTTTGCCAAAATATCAGTTATCCGCATGCCTAATTTTGTAAATCAATGGACCTTTATTCCAGCAGTTTTTCACTCAAGAGTAATTCACAAAATTTCTTTAGAGTATGCATTGAAGAGAAGTAGTGACAGCACACAGCCCTGTCTCAGCCCTATTTTAATTTCGATTTCTTCCCATTGTTTTCATTAATGCCGTAGTATTGCTCGTTGTTTATAATATAGATTTTTATGATCTGAAGGTCATTTTACTCAATTTGTTTGGCTTTCAAGACTTCCATAAACTGTTTGTAACGGACTTTATCAAACGTTTTATAGCTGTCAAATACAATATTTTTACCATAATTCTCTTTTAATTACTATTTATAACTGGGAATAAGCCACAATTAAAGATAAAAATACGTTTATTGACGTTTCAATTTCCAATTCGGAAATCGTTCTCTGTTTGGAGAACGATTTCCGAATTGGAAATTGAAACGTCAATAAACGTATTTTTATCTTTAATTGTGGCTTATTCCCAGTTATAAATAGTAATTAATTTACAATGCCACAAGAAAATAGCTTCAGAACAATATAATTCTCTTTGTCGGCTTTTTACCTTTTTTACAGTTAGGCACTTCCGTATGAGTAATTTTGGACACTCCTCTTTTCACCCTCTGTACGGGTCTCAACCATTGAAGTCTTTTATTATTTTTTGCCTCCCTATAATCCTATTTATATTTCTTTCTCCCACCTTAACGTGTGGAGAGTCATGTTCCGTTGGAATATTTTTGTTTCTTTTGATGATTCTAGGTTTAAGTTCGTCAGTGGCTTTCCTTAATTTGTACGCACAAGTCTGTACAACGTGCTACTTTCAAATGTGCATGTTCTTCCTTCGTTATTTATGAACGTCAGAAGTTTGTTTAGTGTTCCATGGTTTTCCCATTATAATATACTTAGTTTTACTTTAATTGATCGCTAGATCAAAACCACTAATTATTATTTTCATAATTCTATTAAGTTCTTTTCTGTTCTCTACTATTACAGCCACACCATCTACACCGAATCGAATACGTTATGATAATCTCGTTATAGGCTTTCGTCTCTTCAAGGAATGGTGCCCCTTTTTTTGTTGCGGTTGGTCTGGATAGGGTAATTAAGAGTATCGTGTTTGGGGCTGAAAGATGTGATAGAAGCTAGGTTTTTGGATATTGCAAACTTTACTCACAGTACTTGCTCAGGTGGATGTTGTTATGCTGCCATTAAGTTACGATTTTGTTTAGTTTCATCATCATCATCATCATCCAGCCTTCATTTATCACGTCCACGGCTGGACATAGGCTTCCCTTAAACTTCTCCATTCTTTGCGATTTTGTGCTCTTTGTTACAAATGTTTCGTGATACGCCTGATGTCGTCAGCCCAACGTGTAGGTGGTCTTCCTCTACTACGTTCGAAGTCATGGTCTTGGTTAGAGTCGCAGTTTTCGCCCCATAGGTTATGACCGGTAATACGCATTGGTCAAATACTTTTCTTTTGAGTCTAATTGGTATGTTGGACCTAAGTGTGTCTCGCAGTTTTTCAAAGGCTACCCACGCTAAAGTAAATCGTCTTTGGATTTCGCATGTTTGGTTATCCCTGCTGATTCTTATTTCGTGACCCAAATACGTATATTTCTCCACCAGCTCTACCACTTTGTTTTAAATAGTTAAATGGTTATTGGGGACCATATTTATCATAAACTTAGTTTTGGACAAATTCATTCTGAGGATTATTTTATTATTTGTAAGGTTACTAGTTACCATTTACATTATATTTGCATATGGCTACTTATATAAGCTTAAGTGTTCTTAGGAACGGCTCATAATTCAGCATTTTTGGCAAATGCAGGCTATTACCTGTGATATTTTTAGTGGGATTGTTTCTAGGATATTCCAGTACTCATCAAGAAGTTCGTTGTCTGCTATGTTTAGAAGCTTAGCAGGCGGGAATGGAACTTTAGTTTTTGGGAGGGTGAGTACTTGTACTCGTCGCGTCGATGGCATATCTTTTTGAGAACCTCGTTTGCTCTGTTGTTCGAGTCTTTTATTGAGGAGAGGGAGTATTTATTACTTAGACTAAGAATCCTATTATGGATAGGGTCTGTGTTTGCTAGATGGTGAATTAACACTGAGTAATAATCACGTTTTTTGCCCATGATTCTCCT